TGATCACAAGATTGATGCAATGGGTGGGAAATATCACGTGAAATTGCTAATATCAGTGTAAATCATCACACACAACATGTATGACACATTTTCTGGCTTCAGGAGTTATTGCACAAAGGATATGAGTCATGTAAATAGTTCACAGCTATTGAAAGCAGCCAATTAGAGTCAATAGACCATATCTTCTGACATACAGTCAGTGATCTAGTGTACTAGTGGGTCCAGAGCAGGTGGGCCCATATTATGGTGACTCGCAAGATTATTTTCCTGCCCTTTGGAATGCTAGGAGGTAACGGGAAGATTCCCCACATATACAGCTCAGCAGTCTGACATAAGTCATGAATGAAGCAGAGCTATAGATGGTCATGCACAGCATGTATGTACAAGATGTTGCATGAGTCTGAGCATCATTCTCAGGGAAAGTAATTTTGACATATGAATCAATTTAGATAAAGGCTATGACACTAGGTGACCATCTGCTCAAAATCATAAGCCTATTGGAACAGCAAATGAATTAAACCACCATTGACTCCCATAAGTAGAGGTCCTCTTCATTGCAAGGAAATGAAAGCACTCAGGTGTCTATAGTAGTCTATGGTGATCAAACACTTAGGCTGAGACTAGCCCTCAAGCCGGTTGTCACTGAGTGTGACTGTGACAGCAAGATTTCACTCGCTAGTCTCCGGCTCGCTCATCTCACATCAATGAACATCACTACTGACATAGATCCAAGTTCTTCAAGTTCAATAGTGTGATGCAGGATACTGTCAAGTTTCTTGCCCTGATATGAAGTTCATGGAATCAGTCCGAAAGTTTGCATCAGATTTTTTCAAGTTCGCTGATTTATGTCAAACATAGATGTCATTACTGAACATGGGGGATTTCTGAACATGGAGGATTTCTGAAGTTCACAGAATCGGTCCAAGATTTCACATCAGACTTTTTGAAGTTTACTGACCCATATCAAACATGGGATGTCAATACTGAACATGGAGAATTTGTGAAGTTAGATGGAAAATCAAGGTTTTATATGAAGTTTGGTAAATTTACATTATGACACACTATTACGGCCAAACTGTGACAAGTCAACAAGGTATAGTTCCCTACTGTCTACTCCAAATCCTAGTCAGAGGAGCTCAAAACTCAATGGGAAGAAAGTCTTCCGTCTCTAGAAAACAAGCTTGAAACAGACATCCACAGATCGGCAGGTGGATCTCAGATCTTAGGGTCCGATTGTCGCACTGATGTGACGCACGCCAGGCAATATAAAATGGCTCAAGCAATTTTGTCGGAACGAACCACACCACGAGCACCAGACATTCCAACCTCAGATCCATTGCTGACCTGGAAACCCAAATTGAGAATTTGCAGCAGGAGATTTCTGCTGGGAATTGACTCAGGACTGCTCAGAGGGATGAGATGGATAGGCTCCTGGTGGACAAGCAGAGAGAAGCAGAACAGAGGGAGCAACAATTGGCTATCGACCTTACGGCAGCAAAACAGCATATAGTGTTTTGCAAGCACAAATTGACGCTGAAATGGCATCGAAGGCCGCGTTCCAGGCAGCGCTGGAAGCTTGTGAAATCATTTGCTAATTTGATCCAGCAGCTGGCTTAGTATACCTCTCTGACCCTCATTTAGGTGATTAGTATTCCTTAGGTATGAGCTACTGGCTGCATAGCTTTGATTCTCAAGAGTATCTAGTCCTTGAAATTGTCACTACTTCTTATTGACCTTCCTGGTCACTGGGCCAAAACCTACATTGAAACGTCCTCCCTCGGACCAATTGACACATCGGTGGAACATTGGTGACGCTCCGTTACCAGCCAAATGTCTTGCGAGTAAGATTTGTTCCAACTGTGAACCTTGTCATACGAGGGCCATCTCGAATTTGCTAGTATCTGTTTGTGCCATCGGTAGTGTTGCCGCGGCTAGGCTCACGAGCGGCTCGGAGCCGTAGCTGAGCCGATGTTTTAGCCAGCCGTAGCTGAGTTCAGCTACAGCTTGAACGGCTCAGCGGCTTGAGCAATCCAAGCCAACAGTAATTTCTTCTATTTCCACTGTAGAGCCTGCAGCATGCGTTGGTAGTCCTCTAGTAAGCTTGTGTGCCATTCATTTGAGAAGTTAAAAAGGTCACACAATAAAGCAACTGGTTGAGCTCGCGTGAGCTCATTCGGCAATTTCCGTTGCAAGTTCAAGTATTTAAACCTGGAAGAGCAATATAACAGAAGTTTTCTCCATTCTTGGGTGCTCTATTGGCGAAGGCAGCATGAAATAAGCCATTTTGGAAAAATCAGGTCAGCTCCAGCCAGCTCGTAGCTGCTAGCCGACCATCGGATATGGCTATAGAGCTGAAGCCTGGCTAAAATCGGCTACGGCTTAGCTAGCCGCGGCGACACTAGCCATCGGATATATCCCAGCCAATTCAGCCTTGAAACTCATGCCCCGTCAGAGCCTGAAAGTTTATTGGGCGGTGGAAACACCCATGATGGGATCCTCGAATGTCTTTCCAATCTGAGCGATCTTTCCAGCTCACAACTGAGTCCAAGCCACTAGAAGGAACTTGGTATTGACCTTCCTAGTAACAAAAGCAGGCCATACATCGAACTATCTTCCCCCATCCCGGAAAATAAACTCACCCGGAGATCTTGTGGCGGGAGAGTGTTGGCGTTGTGGAGCAGGCAGTGGAGGCGGAGTTGTTGTGTGTGTGGCGCGGAGATGTCGTGTGCGTTTCGCAGAGATGTTGGATGTTAAGAGGTGGAGATGCTCGGAGATGTCGAGGGCGGAGATGTTGCGGGGTATCTCCGTGTATCTCCGTGTAATCTTATCTCTGTGCGTCCGATCTCCGTTAATGTAGCATGCATTATTCGGTCACTGTTCTCTCCAAGTGTCCAGTACAGTACCCAAATAAACATGTAGAGATAGTGTCCTCTTGATAATGCAAGGGACTCACTTTCAGTCGATATTTCATATATGTATTATGGTCCATCTGGAGGTGCACTTTTGCACTTTCTCGGTATTTCTCCTCTGAGTACCAAAGGTAACTGGCATTATCTGGCATGTTATTTTGTACATCTTGATCTCGGAGTTGAAAAAAGCTCCACGCAGTGGACCCAGCGGCGAGCGTCGCGGGTCCAGAAGGGGAACCCCCCGGCCATCACGCCGTAAAACCCTTCATTATTTTTCTAACAAAACACTATGTACACTACTCTAAATGAAATCACTACAATATATCAGTCATTTCAAGAGCCCAGTATTGTGCTGCATTCAAGAAATACATACAAGGCAGCAATGCTACAAGATTGGCTCAGATCCCAATCAATTTTTACCTGGAACATTACAAAATGTCACATACAACTACAACTTCCTGTATTATGTGGTCAGCTTGGCTGCAACAAATCCAGAACTATCATATTGATCCAGTTGTGACGTTACAATACCTATACCACAGCTAGTCCATTGATATTGCACTGGCACCTGAGGAGACTGTAGATCATCAACTCACGACAGAACGGTTGGGCGAAAATGTGGTGCGCGGAGTTGGTGCGCGGAGATGTTGGACGCGGAGACGTTAGGCGCGGAGACGACGCACGGAGATCAAGGGTCGTCCGCATCCAGATTCCTTGTCGTATCTTTCTTTTCTCGTGGACTTCCGTCTCCCCGGAGCCCATTTATGAAACAAATCTCCCTTGCTGAGGGTCTCTAATGTCTTTGACATTCTTTACAGCGGTGGAAGTCGGTAATGCAGGACAATAGTTTCGTCGGCGGCGACTTTCACGGCTGGATGGGTGAAATCCGTCAATGCATGAATCTTGGAGAAGCCGACGAGAAACGGCGAACTCGGCCGTGAAGCCAACGGAGTGTTGTCTGTCCCCGTCCTCTTCCCGATTGTTTTCACCATGTCTCTGCATCAATCTAGCTCCAATAGCACCTTTTCTCTTTACTGATCAAACCGAAGCGACAGACCATCTGTCGTGGCTTAAATGAACATTGGTGTAAGCGGTCACATTGGTCTACAAGACCTGCAGCTGGTCGGAGTCATCTTGGCGATAGTGAAAGTGAAATGATGGGATCCCATGTACGAACGGGGAGTCGGACTAATCAATAGCGCAGAACACAATCAGAAATGGACATGAGTCTTGAATAGTCCAGTGGTATCCGAGCACCGGAACAGTGAGCCGAGACACGACCAAAGCATGACTGACGAAAGTTGAACCTAATGGAATATGCCTTGATCAAAATTGGTTGACTGTTTGGTTTCTAGAGCGATGAGCAGCGTGAGGAAAAGTCGAAAGATCGAGCTTCTCTAAATTTGGAATTGCTTATACCATTGACGGAGACGTCTATTCGGCTGGCGTATATGTCGAGCAGCACCGAACGAACCAGAGATCTGACGGACGGTTTGCGACATTGAGCAATGTCTTGGGTATGCTATACAGCTTTCTGTGGTTAGTAGGATATCGCAGATGGAAAGAATTCATATTTACAGTAAAGCCGGCAAATCCATGGCATGGAGAGGGACAGGATGCGGTGGGCGTAGTTGACGAAGAAGGAGGTGTGCGGAGGTAGCGTAGAGTCGCGAGCGGTGAAAACGGAAAGCTGCGCCCGTGCCAGCAACATTTCGAGGACAGTAAGGTCACATGCAGGATTTTCGAGACAAAAGGTCACAAAACGACCAATGAAATCTGTTTGGTTCGCTGTGAGCAAAAATGCGATTTGGAGTAGCATTGTACGTATCGGCAGACCTGAAAACGGGCTAAAAGCGCTAGTTGGCGGCAATCTGAGGGCTTCGGAGGAGGCTAGAGGGATAGAGAAGCTCCGAGATTCCCCGTGTCGCCGAGAGGGCGTAAGTAATTCGTCGAGGCTGGGTCCTGGCTAGAGGCGGCATTTCACTTCGGGCTAGGACACGTTTTGCTGAACGGGACTAAAAGCAGCGGTTCTCACTTAAAATGCGGTTCATCTCTATCTGCCGAATCACAAGTGATTGAGAGCTGTTAGGGGCCTTCGTGGTGTAGTGGTATCATTGGCGCTTCTTATTCATAGCACGCGCTAGACAGAGTGTTCGATTCCTCTCGAGGGCATGCTTTTTTGTTTTCAGCTAACAGGCCAATAGTGAATATAAGGAAGATCTGACTCACTACCAGTGGGATAGAGGCATGCAACTTCACAGTGAGTGATTCACATCTTTTAGGGGGCTTCGTGGTGTAGTGGTATCATTAGCGACTATTATTCATAGCAAGCGCTAGACAGAGTGTTCGAATCCTCTCGAGGGCGTGCTTTTTTTGTTCTCAGCAATAGTGAATTTATATAAGGAAGATCTGACTCACTATGAAGCTCCGGGGAACTCCAATGCTTGGACTACTAGACTACCTACTGCCTTTCTGCAGGATAACCAAGATCCACACCTTTTTGGAATTCACGTAATTCACAGTGCAACAAGGCTGATAGAGTTGATGCTTCCAGTTTGAGCTTTATCTCTAAAATGTTGACATTGTGTGGAGTGAGTCTCAGTCATAGAGGTCGAGATGGAGATTCCAGAACAAATGTACTGGTTGAGGTAATGCAGGCAGGATTGTAGGTTTGACAATGAGGTAAAGATTTTGAATGGGTGCAGGTTAGTCTATTGACCATTCCCCGAGGTAGGCATGGAATTGAATGGTATGTTGAGAAAGTCATAACTATTCGGGAACTTATTGGCATATAATAGCTAACACAGTCCGAATCAGCCATACAGACAGTCCCAGATGTCTGCAAAGTGGCTCCTGTAGAAGATTGGAAATACATGGATTGCACCATCCTCAACCAGCAGCTCAGCTACCTGCCTGTATCCCTGCCTCTCCTCCTCCATCCAATCCCCTGAAACCATCCAATCCCTAGAAACCAACCCATCCTCTGAATCTAGCAAAATCCACTGGATCCATCCAATCGTCCGAATCCAGCCTCTCCTCATCTCCTCTGAATACACTGAATCCATCGCCTCTGCATACAAAATCATCTCTGCCTTACTACTCCTCACAATCGCCATTGCTGCCCTCGACATCTCGTGCGGAGATGTTGGAGGCGGAGAGGTTGAGGGCAGCGATGGCGATTGTGGGGCGTGGCGGGGCGGAGATTTTGGAGGTGTGACATGCGGAGATGTGACACCAACATCTCCGGGTAGGTTTACACTCCCGTCGTGGGCGTCAAACGAACTTCTGCGCGTTGCTTTTCAAAATTTTCCTGTCCCTTCTTCTATGCGACTCATACTTATACTGAAAGCAATCACCGTTTGGAAATCTGACTGCAAAAGGAGTCATTTTTAGTGTGAAACTAATGTTGTGTCTGAACAACATCAATAATACTGTTTCAACTGTCTTTCTACAATTTTGTGTCCTTTGGCATTTCTGAGTGTTGGTTTTTTGGGAGGCTGGACGGGTGCACAGGGTGTATCAAAAGGGTCCTCGCCGTGTATTTGTGTGTCTATGTATCTATGTATCTACAAGCTTACTTATATACGAGGGAGGGCTACTCCCCCACGTATAACGAGTACATTCTCTCGGAGAACCAAGTCAAGAAATGCGATTGGATTATCGAGTAACAGTTTAACAACTTGCAGCTATCATCTGATACAACGAGAAGATGCGCAGATTGACGTGGGAAAGTGCCCAGATAACGGACGTGTATATCACGTGCTGCGACCTCTCTCTTCACGAACCAACCGCAGCCGCAAAGCGATAATTGCCTACTTTTTCCCATTGCTCGCGCTTTGAACAACGCTGATCACACAATCACGGTCGCTAGATCTACTTCTGTTTCTATTGCTCTTCTCTGACGTGTATAGTAGACAAACTGAAGTCTGTGGGCATCACTGCTCGTTCTGCATAATACTCGATGTCGTGGCCGGTAAGGAGCCTTCTTTCAGATTGCGATTTTTACTAACCGTTCCTTCTAGCAATTACCGCTCATCTGTCATCAATGTGGCAATAACTACATCGAACAAATACCTGTTCTTCCCAATATCCATGATTTTGCTCACCTTTCTCGCACCAATGACGCACCAATGGTAGAGGAGCTCTCTTCTATCGAAGCAGATATTTCTATACGAGAAAAAGAGATCCACGCCCTCCGAGAAGCTGTCGAGAAGCTGCAAAGCGCTCTGGATATTCTCAAACCGCGCCTAGAAGCCGCGACAGACGCTCTATGTCAACAGAAAAGCATTCTACATCCCATTCGACGAGTGCCTGCAGAGATCCTGCAGTTGCTCTTCAGCGCCTGTATGACTGTTTGGCAATCCGAGCCAACCTCGATCCGCCGGTACCACACAGGGCCATTAGCGTCCTTTCCGTGGAACCTCAGTTACGTCTGTCAACGCTGGCGTCGCACTTCCATCGAATCCCCCGATCTTTGGTCGACAATTGAAGTATTGGGAGGTGGTAGCCACGACAGACCTGTCGAAAGAGCATTGCAGTTCATGCTGGACCGTTCGGCTTCCTCGCCTCTCTATATTACATTGGATTTTCCAGATATAGCAGTGCAGCACGATTTGATCGCGATTGTTGGGAGGATAATCCCTCATTCAGCTCGCTGGAGCAGTCTGGACTAATGCAGCTCGAAGTTCTTCCTTTGTGCGTCAACCTCACTCGAGCGCATCTGCAGAATATCAACTCCGACGCTATCGATGAGATCACCGAGGACAATGTCCTGTTGCCCAAGCTCTTAGAACTGCATTTAGCAGCTCGAGAGCCTGATGTCGTTGGTGCTCTGCTGGAGAAGCTCACATTACCAGCTCTGATATCCTTGTCCATTGATCCCATAGACGGGTGGGGTGACAATGATCATTCCGCTCTCATTCCGCTCATAGAACGATCACAATTCTCTTTGAAAACCTTGGACCTAAAGGAAAGCATGGGTGAGACCACGCTATCTTCCATCATTACTTTCCTATCCGGCGCCACCACCATTAGTCACTTCTCTGTCGATGATGAATGCGTTGAACTGCTATCACAAGTTACCCCAGACATCCTCCCTCAGCTCACCCATCTCCAAGTCACCACCAAGTCAGACCAAGGATTTCGGCAAAGTGCTGTCCAAATAGCCTTGGACATGGTTGAATCACGTTTTCCTGGAGCTTTTGAACATGTCAGTCTAGATGCACCATCGGCGCCGGCTGAAGAAGCGGATTTCCCGCTGGAACTTGCTCGGATCGTGCTGCTCCGGGAAGCTGGTCTCTCTGTCGAGGTTTGGTGGGAAGGCTAGTTTTCAAATGTATGTAAACAAAGTTTTGCTCAATACACAAGTCATATATGGTGATACCATCTGCTTCATCTTGCACAGCATTCTCGTCATCCTAATTCAACACTGCTGTTGAATGCGTTGTTCAGCAGAGCTAACGACGATCACTGTTCAGTGTCATTTACTCAAGGGGACTTGAAATCACTGAAATCCGATATAAAAACACAAATAACTTCGAGTGTAGTAAATACTATGGACTGGATTGTCGGCAAAATTGAAAGCGTGCAGATAACCGGGATGGTCGTTTGCTCAGACTCGGCATTCTCGCTTACTAGGTCGGGAGGCAGGTTCTCGTAGATACTGCAGCGATCAACCCCCAAGTTGGCTTGATGATCTGAGCGTGGAGTCCGCTCCGCTGCTCCCCAGGTATTTTGGTGAAAACCACGGCGAGACTCAAGTCAAAACAGAATTGTGCTTTATTTTATCATGGAGAAGATAGCATAAAAACCAGCTAGGAGGTCCCAATTTGTTTCGAGTGTGTCAGAAATGATCAATGTGATATGTGGGCGTAGTTTTACCGATGTGGCAGTGGACTGGGTCAGAGAATATAAGTCAGTTCGAACCTGGGTTATCGGCCTTGAAGCGGATTATAACCGTGGAACCTGGGAGATCTTGTTAGTCCGGATCCTTGGTGACGGATGAGGAATACTTACGTTGAATCTTCTGGCACCGTTGATCAGACCACTAGCGGGAATCTGTTTCAGAGTTACCAGAGTTCGGCCTCACAAGAATGGTCGCATACTACGGGCTCGTGAAAAGGCGCAGTCTGTATGAAAGCCTCTTCGATTCCGATGACCGGGAGATGGTACCAGTCTGGTCGCAAATCAGGGATGATCGAATCTAGAGATACAATCACTACGTTTCCGCCCGATCTATTGAGGGTCGGAATGGATTGAGCAGAAACACTTTTTGCCCCAGTCGGAGAGTAGAAAGACTAACGTGGCGCAAGTACTACTATTCTGGTTGAATAATACTCAATGATTCTGTGGTGATGAAATATGCTACGAAAATTTATCTGGTACATCGTTTATTAATTGAGCGCTTTGCTGTCTGGCGAGGGAGTGCATCATTTATGACCGTAATGAGGCTTCTGAGCTGACTTATAGGACATAATAGGGTATGCCAGAGAAGCAGTACCTGGACAGTCTGAACAACCAAAATGCATTCTCTGGACAGTTTCAGATTCAAACGGATAGCAGGAATGCCGGTGAACAGAGACAAAGTAGTGCCGGCAGATGCCGGCGGTCACGCCGAGGTATCTCGGTGGACATCGAAAAACTTCCGTAGCAGTGCCCCTAGCACAATGCGCCGCGAAAACACTAGAAATAAATTATCAATCACTTATACTCCTCAAATATAAATTTATGGATGACCTCTCTATCCTCTTCTGTCAAATATGCATCCTGGTTGCAGAAATGAACATCCCAGATATTTCGGTCACAGTGGAGTGATCTCTGATTACCCTGCTGTATAAGATGTGCTGCGATATCCAGATGCTAAAAGTGTTAATTAAAATCAGTTTATACATTTAATGACTTGCATCCAGGTCAACAGAGTCCTAGTATTGTGGGTACCATTGGTGTGGCGCAGCTGATCTAATTTGTACAGTAATTGAAATGGTGAAGGCCAGAAGAGGATGGGAAGCCTGTCGAGTGAGATAAAACAGGCTCGTTGATCCGCGACAGGTCTGAACAAATGCGAGCCACCATCATCGGTGGCGTTGTGGCGCTGTGTTCTAAGATCACATTCACTGCATCACGGCGGGTGAATTAGAGTTCTGTTGTATCACAGACATTCTGCAGGTACTAAG